TGAGCATGAAAAAAAAAATAATAATAATAATAATTATAATAACAATAATAATAATAATAATTATAATAAATACAATACAACGTTTAATGTCAGGTTGTACCATATTGGCAAATAACGAATATCTCAACAGGCAAAACAGTGGTGTTACTCACCTACATTATAACATATGTAAGTATTTTGGAGTCATAGTATGTGACAAGTGGTATCTCCACAATCCAGAGCCAGTGATATAAACATCGAACGTAACAATGCTTTATGACATGCAGATCCAAACAGTCAGGCATATTCTCGCAAACAAGCCAGAGATTATCATAAAGGTCAACATCAATAAACCCTGGATTATTGTAGACGTTCCTGTACCATCTGACTACTCGTACAATGTCATTCGAAAAGAGGCCGAAAAACTCAATAAATACAAAGACCTAGAGATTGAGATAACGACGTATGTGGGATATGAAGGAAAACATAATACCGATCATAATAGGTGTAACTGGTACTATACTCGTAACAAAAAACATACCAAAAATATAAAAGGAGTTCCTGGAGAACACAACCTGAAAACCTAAGGAAAAACGGTAATACTTAAAACAGCACACATTGTACGAAAGACAGTAACTCGAAAACAAAATTTACCTGCTCTAGGAGTATGGTTTACTCTCGATGGGAAAAGTGATATCTTCCCAATGAAAGGGAAATTATCATAATAATTATAATATTAATAATAATAATAATGTTGATAATATGAATAATAGTAATCATAATATTAATAATAATGTTAATCATGTTGATAATATTAGTAAAAATAATAATAATAATAATATATATATATAGGTATATATTTATTGTTCAACCGAAAAATCCAATTATACGTACAATGTAATTGAAGTAAAGCATTAGATTACAGCAATTCTAACTAAAATAATTTTAATTATTTAATTTTCATGTTAAGTTGGAGCACAGAGTAGATAGGTGACTTCATTATGACATTAGAGTTTGGTGCTTTCAAGTTTTCGGGAAATTCGGTGGTGCATGAAAATCAATTTAATACAATACAGCTGGATAATCTACTTCAACGTGTATTAGTTTGTAAAAAATTAAAGCTATTAATGATTTTCAGCTCAAGATGATACATTTCAAATCTGACCATCAACGCTGATTGGTCAGTCCCACAACTAAGGTAAATACCATCTAATTTGAATATCAAGTACTTAAGAGTTTTCCGCTTTACACTCCCAATCTCATTAGTATGGATTCAATAATACGGATGCTATATACTTGATGCATATTGTAGCTTAGAACGCACGTGCATTATAATGTCTTAAGCGGCATTTCTCTACAAAATGTTTTACAATTTCGTATTAAAAAACCAATACTTTTCATGGCAGGTGATAGTATCGTATTTATTTGGCCAATGAATTCTAATTTACCATCAAACGACATACCCAAATCTCTTAGTTCAGAGCAATACAATCATATGTTGACATACAATACAAAATTTATATAAAATATATATAAGCCATCATAATGAACATTTCCTCCGAATCGAATGCTTGGATGCGTTGAATGATCAATTAGTTGACTGTCTGTTTACCTAGAACCTGAAAATCAACATCCAACACCTTCCGATGACAATCAACCATTTCTCAATCGTCTGAGCAACGACTCGCTTCCATTATTTATTCGGTAGTCGTCCCAAATACCTCCCGGATACTCAGCGATTAACTTGATACGTATTGGGAAAACTTGATTTACAGAACGGTACAGCTTTGTATTCGCCGGTCTCGAACGATATTCGACTTGAGATCCCATGCACGTATTCTGGAATGCATCGACAGCGATTTCTATCTAATCAAATGGTGAATTGCTTGCCAGACAGAAGCAAATTACATGTTCTTAGAGGTTGATATACTGTGAGGGTTGAGCTTTTACTGCACATTCACGATGGTAATATTCATGTTTGGTTTGTTGCCTTTTTTACAGGGTAACAATGATTTCGTGCTCCAGATACATCAGTGGTATTTGATGAATTTTCGCATAAGTGAAATAAAGACCTGAATGCAGTTTGGACTAAAAAATTGTCGCAATAACATCTCGCTCCTTCTCCACAGTGGCCCAAGCTTAACAAACATACAGGATGTCCCAAAATTGAAGGATAATCCTGGAACTATAGATAGGTCACGTCACAGGATACTAGATGGTAAATTTTGTTTTTATAAAAGTCTTATAGTTATCGAGTTTTCAGCATTTAATTTTAAATAAAAAACTGACTTATAATCAGTTAACCCCGTGCCGTTTCTACAAATATGAACTTTTTTGCCAGGATTGTTTTAAAGCACTCAGAATTAAGCAATCCATCCACTATTTCCTGAATATAGCGTCGGGCTGTCATATTGCGTCAGATGAAAATTAGTGGTGGTCTGCTACTCTGCTACCATAAGCAATAGCACCCCATACCATAACTCCCACGGTGTGGTAAACGTAACAATCTCTGTCTTTCACCACGTGGCCTTCTCACTCTTGGCCGACCATCGTGCATCCCCAGACAGAAGCGGGATTCGTCACTAAAGACCGCCTGATTCCATTCCCGGTCCCATAGAATTCTTTCTCTACACCAGACCAATCGGTCACGCCGAAGTTCAGCTGTGAGAGGTAGCACCCACTGTGGGCGATAAGAAATACACGCAGCCACCACTAAAACTCAACAGAAACACCTTACCATTTTATCACTTGATGTTCATGGCAAGATCTTATTAGTATGGATTTGATAATACGTATGCCATTATACTTGATGCGTATTTCAGCTTAGTACGCACGTGCATTATAATGACTTAAGCGGCATTCCTCTACAAAATGTTTTACAATTTCTTATTAAAAAACCAATAGTTTTAATGGCAGATGATACTATCGTATTTATTTGGCCAATGAATTCTAATTTACCATCAAACAACACACCCAAGTCTCTTACTTCAGAGCAACACAACGATATGTTGACATACAATACAAACATTTATATAAAATGGAAAACTAATTTTATTACTACGTGCTTGAGAAACGTTTAGTAGAGGTAATTGCCTATCCTTGTATATATAAGCCATCATAATGAACATTTCCTCAGAATCGAATACTTGGATGCGCTGAATCATCAATTAATTGAAACATTCCACTGTCTGTTTACCTAGAACCTGAAAATCAACATCCGTCTCCTTCTGATGGCAATCAACCATTTCTCAATCGCCTGAGCAACGACTCGCTTCCATTATTAATTCGGTAGTCGTCCCAAATACCTCCCGGATACTCAGCGATTAACTTGAAATGTATTGGGAAAACTTGATTTACAGAAGGTACAGCTTTGTATTCGCCGATCTCGAACGACATTCGACTTAAGATCCCATGCACGTATTCTGGGATGCACCGACGGCGAATTCTATCTAATAAAATGCCAGACAGAAGCAAATTACATGTTGTTAGAGGTTGATATACTGTGAGGGTTGTGCTTTTACTGGACATTCAGCATGGAAATATTCATGTTTGGTTTGTTGTCTTGTTTACAACAACAAGAATGACTTCGTGCTCCTGATACATCAGTGGTATTTAATGAATTTTCGCATAAGTGAAATAAATACCTGAATACAGTTTGGACTAAAATTATCAAAAATTGTCGCAGTAACATCTCGCTCCTTCTCCACAGTGGCCCAAGCTTAACAAACGTACAGGATGTCGCAAAATTGAAGGATAATCCTGGAACTATAGATAGTTCACGTCTTGGGCTACTAGATGGTAAATTTTGTTTTTATAAAAGCCTTATAGTTATCGAGATTTACAGCATTTGATTTTAGATGAAAAACTGACTTATAATCAGTTAACCCCGTGCCATTTCTGCAAATATGAACTTTTTTGGCCAGGTTTGTTTTAAAACACTTAAAATGAAGCAATTCATCTCGCCCAGCAATATTTTTCTTTAAGGCGGCAAAAAACCCACAAAGTCATGCTAAAGTCTATATTTTTATTGATACCCCTTATTACGTTTGACCTTGACTTAGGAGATCAAGTACGATCACTGTGGCAATTAGTCGAAAAAGTTGTCCAAGAATTGGAAATTTTAATGGTATTATTGCTATTCGCCCTCTGCTGTTTTTTTTTTGTTTTATCGCAGTTATAATGGAGGAGGGTCAGTTTTCGTAGATATAAAATAACAATTTATGGCTGCAAAAAAGTGGACAGGATGATGTTGAAGAATAATTTACATTTAAGATATTTATGTAATGAGCACCATTGACCAGCATTTCTACTCAATACATTTTTTTAATCTACAAAAATAACCGCTAGCGTGGTCGTGGCTGGTTCACCAATACTGTGGTCAGCTCAGCTAGGTGTACAAATTATCTGAAGCAACTCCGATACAAAATTTAGTGGATTTAGGTCCAACGATTTTGGTGCCAATGAAGAAAGTCACGCAGCCTGATCCACTTTGATGAATGTTGAATTTTTGTAATTTAAGTGGTCTCGATCTGACCGAGTATGATGTGCCGGGGTATTATATAGTATTATTATGTTACGAGTACATCAGATGTAATTGCTTTATTTACAAACGTAAGGATTGTTTTTCTTGAAAAATGGGTTTCTCCCATTTTTAAACCAAAATTATGCTGTTAGGGATAAATCACACAATTATGATAATACTCCGGTGGGTCATCTTAGTTAAAGCATCTAGCAGAAGTTACGATCATCTGGTCGTGATCAACTTTTAAGAATGTTTTTTTTTTGTTCAATCGCATCAGTCCTATTTTTACTTAGCCTTTCTCAACTAGTACCTGTAAATCGGCTCTCTACCCAACATAGAAGATACGCAGACGTTGAACGCGCATATAAACGCTATTGAGTGCAATACTTTTTGTCTTTCAGAAGATAAGAGTAATGCCTGGCAGCCCTGAAATCTTTCCGTATTGGAGTGCTCTCCAAGTTAGTTCAGTGTACAGCAAACGACAAATAAATACTCTTACTTACCGTACATCATGCGGCATGGGAAGAGTAGCTCCTCTGTCCAGGAGGATCTTGATGATCTCGTAATTATCTCGATGAGCGGACAGAATCAGGGGAGTGATATCTGGGGTGAAGGTTGCGGTATCAGGAGGCAAAGCTTCCCAACTCTGAAACAATTTTATAATTCTAACATAAAAATGGGCATTATTCTGTTTGTCTATTAAGAAACACTGCATATATCAAATGAAGCCTTTGGATATAATTGGTCTCAAAGTTTAAATCCTGATATCTTTTATTGAACAGTGTTATGGCTGCCTTTATTATTGAAAATTATTTTAGACACATAAAAGTATCTCGAATAGACAGTTTTGTTGAAAAACCTGTTTTTATTATCAGAAATTTGAAAAAGATTGTTGAACTTGACTTAACACCTTTTTCAAAAACTGTTATTTGCTTGGTCCGGAAAATTAAAATAGCAGAAAGATGCTAATTCAATGATGTTTTTTATTAAAAGTAAACAATGTTCCTTTTTCTTACTACAAAGTCACAAAAGTAATAACAAATAGTCCACACACTGTAACTAATCGTCCCCTCTTCTTAAATTTTTATAAAAGCCTCTAAAATTTGCTGGTATTAAAGAAATTTGTTCCTGAACATTATCAAACTTTTTGGCTCCAATAGGTCCGCTTCTATCGACATTCAGTAATAATGGTTTATTTTCTACTCTTCTATCGTGATTTCGCTGTTTTCCTATTTCAACAATAGTCCAACTTTCCGTCTCATTAAAAGAGTATACAGGGTGTTTCAGTTTATTGTTGCATAACTTTAAGATTCGATAGAACTGTTAAAATTGATGCATAAAGTCTATATGAAAAATGCGTGGCTTCCGAAATACAGGGTGTTTAAATTTACTTTTTAAAATAGTTTTTTAAATATTTCGAACAATATTTGATGTATAATAGTGAAAATTGGTATACAAGGGTTTTTTGGTACGATAAAACGGCGCTCTCTACTGTACCTTGAGTGTATTAAAATGACCGAAAATTTTTTCTTAGTGCAATTTTTTGCTTTTTGAATATAAAAACTGATTCTTCGCACTTTTGTGCATAAAAATTTTCTCTTGTGAGTTTTCGTTATAGTTAGCCGTTTTTGAGATATTTCGATTTTTAAGCTTCGATTCATTTTTAATTATTTATGGGAAAATAATATTTTTTTTACATTTTCGATTTGGGCATTACAAGTAATTAAGATGATCGTTTAGATTATGTTTTTAAACACAGCAATAATTCCTAACTCCAAATAAACACAAAACAACAGAATATTAATTTGTTTAATTTTCCAATATTATTTTTAACAAATTAAATTAATTATTTACAACTAAAATGCTATTGGATAGTTAGGACAAACATACAAAATCTAAAGTAGTTGTTCGAAATGTAAACCCAATTGTTCAATACACAATTCACATCTACGAATGATCGAACGTGGTATAGCATTATTCAAATAAGGCCTTATTTCATCACATGCATTCCTGACTCTGTCTATTAGCATATCTCTTGTGGTTACGGGAGTCTGATACACTTTTTCTTTTAGAAATTCCCACACAAAGAATTCTAATGGATTTAGGTCAGGGGATCGTGGAGGCCACGCGACTGGCCCTCCACGGCCGATCCATCTTTCTGGTAATTTTCGTCCAGCCAGTTTCTAACTATTCTCGAATAATGAGCTGGACAACCATCAAGCTGGAATCAGCCCCATCTTCTTAAATCTAATATAACATCATCCCACATATTTGCATGTTCAGCCTTTAAAAATTCCAAGAAGGTCGCAGCATTTAACCTTGCAGGCAAAAGGTAGGGTCCAAATAGTCGATTACGGTAGATACCAATCCACACGTCCACACTAAATTCATGCTGAAAATTTCTTTCCCGAACTGCATGCGGATTTTCATGCGACCAAATATGTTGATTATGAAAATTTACCACTCCACGTCTAGTGAACCATGACCCATCGGTCCATAAAACGTTACTTAAAAACTCCCTATTATTATCAGTTCTATCAAGAATCCACTGACAAAATGTGATTCTTCGTCCTCCGTCCCCTGGCTGTAGTCCTTGCACAGGTTGCAAATGGTAAGGACGTCTATGGTCATTTCTAAGATTACGGTGAACATGGCTTGCTGAAATTCCCAAGGCACCAGAAACTCTCCTAACACTTGCGGTCAGATCTCTATCAAACTCACGCAGAATCATATGGGTAAATCTGCGCTGACGAACATTTATGTTTTGATCCCTTTGGAGATTTCCAAAACCATTTTCAGTTATTTGGCGATGCACTCTTACAAATACTGGGCGAGTTGGATGTCGTCTGTTTGGAAATCTTTGTGCATATTCTCTAGCTGCTTCTGCTGCGTTTCCATTTACAAAGCCATACACAAAATGAATATCCGCTAACTCTTGATTGGAGAATAAAGAGGGCATTTTTATGAAACTCACAAAAAAAAAATATGTAAAAGAAACTAAATTTCGTGCATTCACAATTGCAAAAACACGTTTCAGGTTTCAACAGACAACAAAACTAACTGTCAACTAATTGACGTTTAACCTTATTCTGCTTTCAGTTTCAAAAATATTTGCAGGCACAGCCTACTTCTAAAAATTATCGAGATACTGACTTTTTAACGTTATTTTATCATAGATTATTAAAAATGCATCGAACATTAAAAATCGAAATATCTCAAAAACGGCTAACTGTAACGAAAATTCACAAGAGAGCTTTTTTATGTTGAAAAGTGCGAAGAATCAGTTTTTTTATTCAAAAAGCAAAAAATTGCACTAAGAAAAAAATTTCGGTCATTTTAATACACTACAGGTACAGTAGAGAGCGCCCTCTAGCGGCCACAGTAAAAATATGCCCATGGTTCGTTTTGTCGTGCCAAAAAACCCTAGTATACCAATTTTCACTGTTATACATCAAATATTGTTCGAAATATTTTAAAAAAAACTATACTATATACTATACTATATACGTATACATATAACTGTATTTCGGAAGCCACGCGTTTTTCGACCCACGTTTATATAGACTTTATGCATTAATTTTAAAAGTTCTATCGAATCTTAAAGTTATGCAACAATAAACTGAAACACCCTGTATGTACTTAGTTACACCAAATTCTTCAATCTGGATCCATCTTTCATCTCTCAATGAAAATTTCTCATTGGTTGTAATTTTTTTTTCTATGGACCAGTAAAAGTTTTATTGGAAGTTCTTTAATATCAACGAATTTATCCGCCCTTCTTGTAATATTAAAAGGTGTTTTTTCCTAGCTTCTGCCATGATTGAAATATATTGGTCCACTGTATAAATTAGTTAGGTCTTTCTGTTAGACTTTTCTACAGCTGCAAAATTTATGTCAGGGAACTTATGGTCATTTTTTTTCGAACACTCCAGAGATTATTAAATAATGCCAATCTCTTCAGGACGCGATTTCCTTGGTCTTCGGTCCAGACGTGGAAAAAACCTTTACCATTTGGTTGCTGTGTTGATATCAAATGTATTCCTAGATTATCGAGCCATACTTGTTGTAAATAGAAGGCCTTACTTATAGAAATTTTCGACAAGGGAAGCGTTTTTTGTAAATCAAATGTGAGGCATATAATTTTTTCGTTTGTTTCTGCTATTCCTCGATCAGATTTTTGTACGTCAAAAGCTTTTTTATACTTTGCATGTTGCATCGCAAACAGTACATGTAGCAGTCTTTGGAGAACCAAATCCAAAATTGACAACTATCAATATCTCTTTGCATGTATAATGCAAGAGTTAAACCTTTTAAAGTTTACAGATTAGAGTTTTTATGTAGTTAACACTTTTATGAATCTCTGTATCTAAGAACTGAGAGTCACCTTTGGTCGGATGTATGTACTACCAAAAAAAACACTCTTCTAACACCTTTTTGCACTACAAGTCTTCAAACGTTTATTTGTTCTAGGTTGAGAAGTACTTGTCCCTATATGACCCCTTAATTCTGTACAAGGCCCATATAAGACCTATTCTCGAGTACTCCTCACATGTTTGGGAGGCTGCCGAGTAGATTGCTCGATGCTGCTCAGAGGAGAGTTGTACGACTGGTCGATGACTCATCTCTAGCGGATAGCCTAAGGCAATGGTGCCTGTCGGACAGACCCGCCTGACTTCGGCTTAACAATCTGTCCCTAGGGTATCGAATTGTTAAACAATCTATATACGAAGGCTTTTTTCAGTTCTACTAACTTTAGGAAGTTCAAAATTTGGATTAACGAAGTTTCCATAAGCAACTGCGGTGCCCTGGCATTTAGGCTTCTGTCTGCGCGGCAGCTGCGGTGTAAGAAAAAGGATGAGTCAAGTGGTTTGATAAGGAGAAATCGAATCGTGATTAGGTAGGTTCACTTATATACGATGAATCTTCGACCTCTGCATATCAAACTGTATGAAGCATATTTATCATCTTTCTGTTTTAATGGCAGATAAGGAAAACTATGTGTGACTTATTATGTCTAACAGGTGCATTGATTCACTGAGATCAGGAGCTTCTTAATAGTAAAAGGTCTGTCACTGACACGAAATATGTAACAATTTACAACCATTTATCGCACGACGCTAAGGTGGTACGTACTCATAATATCCAAATATTGCTAAGCATATGTATTAATATTTCTTCTGCAGCGATGTGTCAGTGACGATACCACTACAGGGCTGTTGGAGTCTGTTGCCAACAGACGGCAATGGCCTCTACGAAGATGCAGCATCGCGCCGTGCACGCAACGCCAACAATTGCAAGTTGTTTAGTATTATGAGCACATTGCATATCGGACTTTTACCATTTAATTTTCCCGTTGTTACCAGAGTCAGAAGATTATTAATTATAGAACGTCTCTGACTAATACTAAGGACGTAAGATTTACAACCCCCCAACCCCCAAGTTACGACAAATTTCTGCTTTCCTACTTCTTTGAATATATCGCTTTGATTTTAGTGATTGGTATACTACGAATATTTTTTTCTAATAACCCCACTGTCAATTCCTCTGCTCCCATATCAGCGACTGACACAAGATAGTATCTCTCTCTCTCCAGTAACTTCACAAGAAAGCTAAAACCTAGGAACATGCAACTATGATTTTCGAGGA